ATAGCTTTGATTGTGTTAGCCTATTTTCATCCATTTTTTAACAATGTGCTTTGAAAGTGGCAAATAACAAAAGTTTAAATGCAAAGCTAAAAGATTATTATAGTAAAAAACTTTTTTAATTTAAACCTAATAAAAAAATAAATTTTAAAATGTATTAGAGCAACTCAATATTATGGGTAATATAAAGAGAGACCTAAAATTCCGAAACACCTCTCCAAAAAATTATAAACAAATAATTCATAATTATTCAAATAAATTATATTATATTATAAAATTTAAGATTAAATACCGGATATTTTTACCAAAAGTGTTGGCTGTCAACTGGTTAAAGCAGTTTGGTACTATAGTATATATAAATAAGATTTGTTTACTTTTTATTTTAAAACTTTAAGATCATTTCAAGACCAATAATAAATACATTTTACCATTATTATCGGGGATGATGTGGTCTTATCGTTAAGTCGCCCTACAGCGTTGATACTAAATAGAAAACTTTAAACGCTTAAGCGTTTCTATTCAAGACAATTCTCCTGAATAAAAACGTTTTTAATAAAATGATGAATTTGTTGGTAATTAGTTGCTATTTTGATACTCCAATGCGTTTTGGCAAATTGTGTTTAGTAGTTGGTAGATTTTTTATTTACAGTAAAAGAGTATATCTTGATACTTAAAATCAGAAATTCTATAGACGTACCTAATCTACGTACCTACTTTAATTCTCATTTTTTTGATAAAACTGAACTATGTCCGTTTAATAGCGAACACAAATACATGATCAAATATATTTTAAAGCAATATCAAATGTTGAAGAAAATGTTTCACCATGGGCATTCTTTTTGAGTATTATTGATAAAGATATGTTAACATATTTCAGCAATTTATTTTACCTTATGACGAATGAAACATGATACCGATTCTGACATTAAAATTATTATTAACTAAATAAAATAATATCTTTTGCCATGATCAGCTCAATCTTCTGGTATAGAACCTATGATGATAAATCGCAAGGATAAAACTAAATGCAAGAATGGATATTATAAATATTAATAAATTTATTGTGTCTTTTTTAGAAAATAAGTAAAAGGTGGTAAAGGGTAATAAATATTGAATAAAATATAAATATATTAATTTTTTTTATTTAATGGAAAATTTGCTTTTTTTCTGTAGTAAAATTTTACTATTGATTGGAAAACCCAGCTAGTGTTATAAATGAAGAGGAAAATATATTATTTTTAAAAAACACATCATTTTCTAAAAAATATCGTGCCCGAACCTTCTTAAAGCACTGAAATAAAGATTATTTTCAAAATATACAATATGAGTTACTCGTTAACCAAAAAAAATTAAGACCAAAGGTTGTCTCCTTAAAAAACCTTTACAATAGTAAAGTGGTTGTCCATGAGAATAATTCCAATAAAAACAAGTTCGAATAAAATTGTTGCTTAGTTATTTTTTGTCAGACAAAACTGTTAAATGTAAAATTACTATAAAACAAACTCTAAAATAAAGTTTTTGCTTGGTAATGTATGTTTAACTAAAAAGTGGTTGCAAGATGTCGCAATAAGTATTTTTATATTACATTTTGTTTTTGTTGTATCATGATTTATATACATTAAGTGCAACGTCTAAGAATGACGATATTTGTGGGAAAATATCTATAATTTTAAGTTCATAGGATAGACAATCTGCGGTCAAAGTTTGCCATTTCCAAGTTTAAACGAGCGTGTAAACTAGGGTTGACCGGAAAACAACCTGCATGCATAAAGTAAATTTGGGAACTAATACACAACTATAGTTGCTAAATAACTATAGTTACCTGAGACCATGATTATGTTATATATTTATAATTCTTAATTTATTTGGGTTAAGATTATATTTCAAGGTCAAGGAAAAAAATATTATTTAGTTATATCCAAGTTAAATAATTTCTGACAAAAATCTTTCTGATTTTATTTTATAAAAAATATTGTTAAAAATATTAAATAAATAACTTCTTTTAAATCAAGATGTTGTTTCAAAATAGTTATTAAAAATAAACCTAATAAAGAATCGGTGGCAACGGTAATAAAGGAACGGTGGCATTATCTGGGTTAAAAAGTAGGTACCAAAAAGCAATAAGATTAGTTGGGCATAGTTTATTATTGTATATTGTATAGGTTTACTTTTTACACTCTGTTTTTTATAAGGTCCTTTAATAAAAAATATAAATTAGTACATACATTACAAAATTACTTGAGGGGTATTAATTAAAAGTTGTGTGTTGTGTGATTATATATATTTATTATAAATATACATTACACAATAAGTAAGTGGTGTAGAGAACGTTTTAGAAATACTTTCTCCATCAGGGGAGTCGAAAAACTAGTGAAATGATGACGCATTTTTACCTTAAATTGTCTTAAACCAATCTTGAGTCCTAAATAAGAATAAGGCAATAAGGACCGAAATAATTTTTCTCCGTGCTAGGCATCTACTACACTGTTCAAAATTTCATGACCATTTTAACACCAAATTAACACCAAACTTGGTCTATATCAATACAAACCAAAATAGTGTTAAATAAGGTTCGTTGGTCCGGTGTAAATTCAAATACTAAAATGGTGTTAATTTAACTCATACAGTATTAAAATAAATTTTACTTGGTGTAAATTGAACTCCTTTTCAGTGTTAAATATTATGTGTTTATGGACAAATTAAATCATACTACACAGAAAAAAGGAAAAAAAGGAAACAGGAAGTTCCTTGACGCATTACTAGTATATTACCAGTGGTATTATTCCAGAAAATGGAACCTTAAACTCGCTAGAGATAATGTTTTTAGTGCGTTGCACTAACTTAAAATACTTCAAGTATTGACAGCAGCTGCAGCTGTTTCCACCTATTTAAGGTCTCTTTAGTATCGAACAACTTGTAGTGTCACACCAAAGCAAAGGATTACCTGAGTTTATATATTCTTCATGTAAGTCAACAGAGGCGAGATTTAAGAACATCACGTGATCCACACCGCCTTTGCCGCGATCGGTACACATTTTCAACCATAATTTATGGTGTTATATTAACACCACTTGGTGTTGGATTTTGACACCATTTTAAGATTACTTTTTACACCACAGATATTTTAAACAGTGTAAGGCCGCTGTGGTTTTGGCTACAAGAGTCGTGGGTAATCTCAAATTTTGGTACGATGCATCGCGATCTTGGATATTGCGATCTCGGATGGCATTCAGATTTTCCCGATGACCGAAAACGATCATCGAGCGATAACTAAGAAATACGATACTGATAACATCTCTTATCATTTTGTTACCCTCCTCTCTGAGAAAAAACTTTACATTGTTATCAAAGGCAATCCTTTGAATAGGTCAAGACCGACCTTATGAGTTAAGGCTTAACTATCACGGCCATCAGCTATATGTCGAATAGGGCAACCAAAAAGACCCATGGTACCTACTAATCCAAATACCCCATGACCAGTCCAATGTTTATGCTGTCCGTACGGCTATAATCTTGTGACCCAGAGAGTCAAAAGAGGCGTATCGAAGTCACCGTTGCCAGCGTTTTAGGCAAAAACAGATTCCACTTTTGCAAACCACCTATCTACCACCAAATAAAAGTATGAAACTGAATTTATTGGAGTCGATGGAAATTAATAAATTAAAGAAAAAAACTGATATTATTCTTAATTAATGACCAATCAATCAATCAATCAATCAATATAAATTTATTAAACATTAATATCACAGTAATACAATTCATTTGTTAAAATTTACAAGTCATTTCATATGTGGAGGGATACCTAAAACAGGGGTGCCTAGCACGTTCTAGATATTTTAATGACTTAATGACCAAATAGATACCAATAATTCCCCGTTATTAAACTTATTTTAATAAATTCAAATTTCAAATTTTTGTAGTGTTATATAACTATAGAGATTACAGGGCATCCCCATAATTATTGTTCCTTTATTGTATAAGGTTAATTTAATCTTCCCCAATATTGTACTAAAAATATTACCTGTAAAACAATCATTTATATAAATGTAAAATAAATATTAGTTTGTATACGATCTCAAGATGCTACTGTGTAGCGAAACAATTGTCATATTTAAATAAAATAGTGAAACTTTTAAACAGTGTAGTTTATATTAAAATAAAACAATATTAACATGGAGTTTCATCAAGTAAAAGTCGAAACAATTAATTATTATAAATTTGGTATACCCAAAATCCACCAGCCGCCACTGCTTTTTATAATTATATAAAAGGATTAAATATAATAATAATGTGAATTACTGAAAAATTAACAATTTTTAAGAAGTGAAAACAAGTTTTTTATTTGGAAATCAAACTCGACTAAATATATTAATTCTAGGTCCTAGAATCTAGGACAAAATATTGTGAACAAGATTTTGTAAAATTTCCCTGGTTTTTGTTATCGTTCTACGAGGTAATTGTGTATTTAAAAATTTCAATTTTAAACCTTGTTTCTGTAAATAAAGACAAAATATTTTTTTGAATAAATCAATTTTAATTATTTAAATAAGTAGTATGAAATTATTAGATTGTTCGCGGATCCAGATAAAATATTGAATATAAAAAGTGTAAATCTAATTAAGAGGTTCGGGGTTATTTTGCATGTGAAAAAGATTAATAATTATGCACAGAAGACAGCTGGGCTTTATATGTTTTTATATAGTTGATAACACAATTTTATTTGTTAAACGATGCATGAAATGTACAGAAGTCAAATTTTATGATTCATAAAAATCACAGTGAATAATTAAATTGGCCAATCACTGACGCTAACAACTAGCCTAATTTATTATATGCTTACCATAATCGATTACTTTAGTGTTCTGTGTTGAAGACAATATAATAGAATAATTTATTGTCATCAAAAAAGGTTACATGGCAAGACAAAAATTTTACTCAAAGGCCGCTTTTTTAATTAATTATGCATGCAGTAAAGAGGAAGAAAATTAGCAGACTAATACAACTACCTGAGATGATCATGTCGCCCCTTTCGGTGGTCCAGTAGTTGATGGAGGTGGGAAAGGCCTCCGTCCGACACTCAAGCGTTACGTCCTGTCCGATGTAAGCCCCTTCCAATTGATTCGGTATCGAGAGCATCGGCGGAACTGCAAATTGAGAACGAATACCAATTTAATTCTGTACCAACGATCGTTCCATCATTCCTACAGTTTGACAGCTTGTTTTGTACAAAACTAACCTGATGGAATTACGTCTGTAATGACCTTTTTGGCCCACAGATTAATACGTCGTCTTTGCAAAGACAATTGGTTTTAAAAAAAGATCAATCGGCTGTATATTTTATAAAAGTTAATCCTAAATTATTTGCAAATACAAAAATAGTTCATATAAATAAGTAATTTATAGTTCAGAATTAAAATTTTATATATCGTTTCATTTAATTTATTATTTAATTTAGTTTAAATGTATAGCCTACTATAGTTTTTTTTATAAAGCAGTATAAAAAGTTAATAAAAGAACATTATGTGCAGCATTTTTTTTCATCCTTGACTTTTTTATATTAAAAAAATGACTAAGTAAGTTAGATGTAAACAAATTTAAGAGATCAAATTTTTAAATTTATGGTTAATTTAAAAATAAAAAAAAAAATGTACAAACTAAATTTTATTTTTTATTTATTGATTTCATATTATCTTACACAGAGGTTTACATTTAGTCCAAACAGTTTCTGGATTGCCTTATTTAAAAAATTACGCATGTATTATTAAAGAGTGTTGACTCTATCCAGCGGGCGGGCATACAAAAGTGTAAATTTTTAGTGACACCAATAGTTTCTAAGATAAGTATATGGACCATATTATGAGAACCTCCCTGTAGGTACCTAACTATTAAGCCAATTTTAAGCGCAAACTGCCAATCAATGCGTTTATAACAGCTTAGTCTTGCTAGAGTGCTCGGCAATTTTAACAGTAAACAATTTTTTTTGATAAAAGATTTTGTATATATTTTTTTGCAAATAAAATGTCTCGTACTAATTTATTTTAGATTTAAGCCGCCTTGTTTCTAAAGAGTTGAATTTTCTTTTTTTTTTCAAACTGTATTCCTCTGATATGGATCCGGTGGGCGTTTTTCTGTTGTTTAAATTGAAACTTAGACTTCGCGAACGGCGTTTTGACTAAATTATATTTAAAAACAAAAATTACCAAGCTCTCTTTAGTGCGTATACTTAGAAAGCTGAAGTAAATACACTGATTGAGAAATGGGGCTCAAACTTGGCCTAATAATAAGGCCAATTAACAAACATCCCTTTAAATAATACAATCCAGAAACTTTTTGGACAGAATTTATAATAGGCTGTAATATACAGTATATTTTCAAAAGCGATTAGAAATGTTAAATTATTGTTGATAAATTATTGTCTTAAATTTTTCTACTTTGTATCATTTCAGTGATTAAGTAATCATAAAATTATTAACCACAGTGGAGCTAAGGAACATTTAGCAAAGGAGTTATTAACGATGCAATAAAAATTATTTTGTCCCACACTCCCACACATGACAAAATTTCAATCAATTTAAATAATAATAAAGAAATAAAGGAGAAATAATTTATACTTTTTTCACAGCTATTTTCCATATTATTTTATATATTTAAAAAAACTAAATTAAGATATAAGTTATAAAAATCTTATAAAAGAAAACTTATACAGGTAACGAAAATATAAACTTTTTTTTAATTATAACATGATTTGTATAAATGATGGTTACAATTTAATTATTTTTAAGAGTATCGTGACCAGCTTAATATCATTAAAGTAGTAACAAGCATTTAAAAATTAAAATTAACAAGGCCGTAACTTAAGTATTGTGTTTATCTATAGGTTAGCGCGATTGATTTGTCAGGCTTTTTACAAACTGATAATATAAACTTATAACATTATTTCATAATGCTAATCGAGCTTTAAGACTGACTACCATGTTAACCAATATAGTACATGTACTATGTACTATGTATAGTATTATATACATTGTATAATATACAAGCTATATTTTCCATGATTTTCCCAAACTCATTCTTTTGGCTATATGCTGTGTAATTAAAAGTAAAATCCCAACTTTTAATATAAAATTAAAAAGGCAATTATCGGTAAAGTCACACACTAGACTTAATTTATTCTCTCTCTAAAAATGAATTAGTCAAAACTGACTAATTTAATAGTTAATAGTGGCTGCTTTTTCACTTGTACCATGGTTAACCATGGAATACCATGGTATCCAAAAATTTAACAGCCAATTATTATGTAAAATTGTCCCCTGAATCCGAAAATACAACAACAACAATTATGAAAGTGGATCAGTTTTTGAGATATAGTCAATTCCATATTAAATGGAAAATTGACTATATCTCAAAAACTGTTCTACTTTTTTAACTTTTGATAACATATTCGGATTCAGGGGATAATTTTACATAAGAATTGGCTGTTAAATTTTTGGATACCATGGTATTCCATGGTTAACCATGGTACAAGTGAAAAAGCAGCCACTATTAACTATTAAATTAGTAATTTTTGACTAATTCATTTTTAGAGAGCTCATACTGTGTATACCTTATGAGTACACACTTAAATGTTTAGTCTTTAGGCGTTTTTTAAGCGCCCTGAAGGCCGGTTTATCAATCTCTCCAGTTAGTCTATCTGAAAGTTAAATTCTATATCGATTGTTGTGAGAACAATGGTAACCACAGACCACCAAAACAAATGGACGGATTTGTTTACGTTTAAAAAGCGAGTAAAGCATAGTTTCACATTCTAAACACCGTCGAAAGAAACACGGCTTCCAACGTTGTCAGAAGTATAGATAACACGCCTTTTTGGACGTTCATCATAACATAATGAACATTAATAATTACCAGTAATTCGTTTGAATAATAAAAAAATTATAAAAAGGATTTGTTCATCATTTTCATTAGATATTTTTCTCTATTTAAAGAAAGTAAATCATTTAATAATTATTAAAATTAAATATTAACAACGTTGGTAAATTCGTCATATTTGATAGCATAGAAAAAGGTTGACAGCTTGTTGTTTTGTGTTTCTATCGTGTTTAAGTTAATTATGGAGTTTAAATACATTATTTTTTACTAAAAATAACAATACATGGAAATATCGTTTGTAAGTACCTACCTACTTTTTATTTTTTTAATCCCAATACGTCACTGGAAGAAAACATAAAATTCTATTGCCAATTTAATGCTTAGATTGTGACCGTTTGTTGACGTCACTGGAAGAAAACATAAAATTCTATCTCCAATTTGACGCTTAGATTGTGACAGTTTGTTGACCGCAAACAAAGCATTGATATTGAATGACAATGCGCCGTCCATTTGTTTTGGTGGTCTGTGATGGTAACCATGGAAATTATCTACTAGATAACTAACTGCAACTTTAACTGGACATTGATAAACCGGCCCTGACATGAGTAAAGTAGATTACGGTCAGAGACACAAGTCGGCTACCTTACGCTAGGTCCTTAGTAGTAGCACAGTAAATAAAGGATGTGGTGGTAACGACAAAAGCAGACTCGAACGGACGCAAAATGACGCGGGCGGATGCGTTACTCATTTTAAGAAGGTGTCCTTAGTTATCGCGGGTTGAAGCAAGAATTTTGGTTAGGAGAGTAATACATTTTTAATAATTAGTTTGGCAAGAACTTGATAGGTGAAATAATAATAATTCACCCGACATGCATTTTAGAAGTAGAAGTCAGAAATTGTTAGTTTTGGTAAGTTTTTATAAATTGTTTTCTTTCATCATTTTTGAATAAAAAAAATCTCAATTTTTAAAATTGTTGATTTGGTTTTAGTTTTAATGCAGCTGCTATTTATTTATATTTATTTTATTTTGATAATATTTATATGGTAATTAATGCTATACAAACAGCGATAAAATGTACTAACCAAATGGTTAATTGTCAAACCAAGTTCTTATCTGTGGTTACTGATATTAACATTCAGCGCGACGTTCTAAATCCTGATCATCAGATTTGGATTAAAATTGTTTAAACTGTATGTTAAATAATTTGGATCTTTACTTACATTGCACCTTTAGTTGTACTCGTTTGCTAATTGATGGTGGTACACCATTAGAAGCTATGCAGAGATACACTGCCATGTGAAGTCTGCTAACTTTGGTTATAAAAAGAATTTCCCCATCTACAACGTTAACTGAAATAAAAAAAACTCATATTTATATTCTCGTTATTTGTTTATTATAATTATATATATATAACTGTTTCATATTTAACATTACTATACGTAATTTACGATAAGTACGTTTTTAATCGTAACATAAAAACTTTATTCCATGAATAAATTAAATAGGTGTTTATAATGTATATTCTTTTAAAGCAGACATTTATAAGACAATAAAAACGTTCCTGGTGACATAAAATTAAAAGGTTATAAAACTTTCATGTCTGCAATTACTTCTAAACTGTTTAAATTTTTATGGATAATTCTTGCAGTAAGTTAAATTTAAAATTACATAAAATTATTTAAATTTAAAATCTTGTAATTTATTACAAAACGGGACGCAGTTATGTACTCATGGACAATAATATCATAAACAATCTCTAGTTAATAGCTTAAAAAAAATCTAGGACGCTACTTAAAATATATCCAAGACCCAAAAAAGCAGGACTTGTCCTATTGAAAACAGGGTGGTTAGCAATCCTAGTTTAAATAAAAGCATAAACTAAATTATTTATAAACATTATTCAAAACTAAAAAAAATACCATTTTGTATGAAACAGTATTTGGAATTAGATTGAGATTGAGATGTTTTCGATTGTTGGTCATTAGTAATTATAATTATTTTAGTATTATTCTTTAAATCCTCAGTTGTTGGTGGTATATAATATATACCACCAACAACTATATATATATATTAAAAAATTCTAAATTCCGATAAATTTCTATCAATTTCATCAAGTTCATCAAGTTCATATTTATCAAGATATTCTCATTAGTAAACTTATAAACTTTATTAAGTCATTTTAGCACCAAAAACAATTTTGTAACTTCTAACTATCTACAATTATTTATTTAAGTAGGTCTAGTTAATGACTAGATATTTCAGGAAAAATAAAAGTTTTAGTCAAAAAATGACTGACTTGATACTATCAAGTTGATAGAGTTTGTAATTTTACTAATGAGAATATCTTGATAAATATGAACTTTATGGAAAAATTTATTAAAACCTTTTTTTAGAAAATTTAATTTTCTACAAAATTGTCTTTACAAATTTTTCTCAAAACCAAATTCTGTAAGAGATATTTTAAAAAAAACTACAATTTTATCGAAAAATGAACTTCAATTGGCCGTCGGCACGTCTTCTTATTTATGAAAACCAAACAAAAGTTTTTTCTCTCAGTTTTTCATCGAAAGGAAGGATTTTTTTGGGCGTCGGAAAGAATTTAATTTTTAACGACCACCCTACTAAACATCCTATTCATTCATACATTAACAGTCGAGAAACCTTAAGGGATTGCAATCCTTGGGAATGTTCATGTATAGGAGGTATTGTAAGTGAAAGTGGTCGTTCTGAGAAGAAGTGACCTCTTCGATTTTTTTTTCGACAAGCGGTCTATAACTTCCTGCGAATCAACAGCAATATCCCAATAATCATGGCAAGAGCACTTAGTCTATCGTGACACATTACACTTCTTGGTAGAGTTGGTAGGTTTTTACTCTATTCATGTTAGAAATCGATCTTTCCACGTTTCCCGTTAAAACTGGAAATAAATTCGGTACGAAAATATGGCCCAACTAGGGGTGTCAATTCCGGAATCCCGAAATCCCGGTGTCTCGGTATCCCGTTAAAAATCCCAGGATCAAAAGTCCCAATCCCGGGATCTTAGTAATAAGTTACAAAGAATAAAATATACCTTTATTTTCAAGCGTATGACAATTTTCATATTATAATACTCATAACATATATGAAAATAATTCATTTTTGTACGCAGCTAAAAAGTCAAATTATTATAGACCGCCGTAATGAAAATACAATAAAATTACATAGCTAGAGTGGTTCCATCTATCGTGTTCAGCATAAAATCAGCAAAGAAAATGTAAAATTACAGGTCACTGTAGAATAAATTCATGTTATGTACATGTACTATAATATAACATATTTCGAACGTCAAACCTGAAAAAATGCCACAAACTTGATAATTTCAATGTAAGTTACAGCCCCAATTAAAACTCACCAAGGCCCGATTGATAAAAGAAATGGAATTATTTGTTAATGGGGGTAAATGTGGGTACAATGTGCCTACGAATTCTTGAAAACCATTCCTCCAACTAGTGTGAAGTCCGAAATATTTCGTTCGTTAGTTTGTTTGTATTGGAGGGGGGACTGATCCCGGGATCCCTTTAGATCCGAAAGTCCCTGGATTGAAAAAAGGACTCGGGATTTACACTCCTAGTCCCAACGCAGCACTCCAACAATTTCGAAACCTCGGTAGTACACCATATTCTTTGCTATAACATCTGACAACAACATTCGATCTTTAAAATATGAAGCTAACAGTTGTTGGTCATATATTTTATTTAGTAAAATGATTTGGTTTATTATATTTTCTTTACAAATAGTTCATTTGGAGTGAACATGGACAACTATTTTACCAAATAGGTAGATTCTTTACGGCTAATTCTATTGTTTGGTAGATGGCGTTAATGTAATCACATAGTTGCCGCGATTCATTCCATTTAGAATTTAAAACGTTAAAGGGTTTAAGTTTTGAATGCAAGTTTATTGGAAATAGGGTTTAGTTCTGTTATTATAGTTAGATAATTGATGGTGTGAAAGGGTAAGATCTTTGTTTCCGAGGAAAATCTGACAACGTAGTACCCTCTCCGCTGTCCGAGCTGTAGGCGGTAAATCTTTAAATACATAGCCTAGGTTTGAGCAAATAGATCTGTGAAGTCCTTAAGTCAAATGTGAGCAAAAATTAGTAGAAATTTGAACATATTTCAACAACGTGTTCTCCTTTTTTAGTGGACTTTTGGTTTTGTTGGTTGGAATTGCCACAGGCGGAAAATGTTGTTTGACCAATGTTTGGTTGTTGCGTGAAAAAACCCTTGTAAATAAGGGTAAGTCAAAGGAATTTTCAAGATACTTAATTGTCTTATTAGGTTTTTGTAGTCCATTTTTAGCAAGGTTTGAATATTGGATATTTTGAATTTAAATAAGTATACTTCCTTGCTTGGTTAACCAAGCAAGGAAGTATACTTATTTAAATTCAAAATATCCAATACTTAATTGTGTTTTTCAAGGTTTTTTTATGGCTCAAGTTTTTATGCTACTTGAGTTTTTTTATGAAGTTGCGTCGTAGTTTTGGCTGAATAAGTGGTGGTGGCAGCACTTGATCGAATTTCCAATGTGAAATCCGTCAACCGTCAGCACAATATTTTCTGTATCTTTCAACAAGTAACACTAACAAGTTGTTCCTGCATTAACGGATAATCAGGTTGTACCTTTTTGGATTCACTATAACGGAGACTAGCTGCGATTATTTCAACCTCAAAATATACTTTTAACCAACCACCGCACATTTAATGTTTTTATAACCTAACTTTTTTTAAAAATTTTAATTGCTTAAACCATCTTATCTATTTTTTTTGTAAACTTAATATGGCCATATAAAGGTAAAATATCAGTAGTGTAAAGTACTGACTTTTTTAATGCCTCCTAGTCCAGTGAGGTTATGTCTTACTTGCTTGGACAGTTTAACAACTGGCTACAACAAGACATTGGGGCCCTAATATGATTTGGTATGAGACAAACTAGTTAGTATCAAGAAATAATACTCAGCCCATCGACCTATCTCTCCGGTGCTAGGCTGCCGTACTCCTGTCCTCAAGTTGAGGTTACAACTTTTTCAATTTGTCTTCTGTCTTCTTATCTGCTTAAACTCTACAGACTTAGTTGCATGTAAAAATTTTCTGTTTTATAACTAAAGAAAAGGGAGGTACAAAAACCAACCCCTATTTTAAAGTGGTTTTATAAATATTTCCGGCCAACTCCAAAAAATTAAAAAAAAAATTACTAATAGCTTTCTTAGATCTTATTAAAGACAATTATTATAGGCGATAAACTTTACTGTAAACAATTTTATTTTTTTCAAAACTTTTTTATGATTCTATACTAAAAATGTAAATAACATTGAGGCCGTGTATTTTAACTAAACAGCAAAAATTAATACTCTAAATAAACACAATAAACAGCGTTAGTTTGTTCGCATATACCTATGTACGCATATACATTTATGTTTTCAAATTCTAAATAAAAAGGTGATTAAAAGTAATAAACTGCCCAAGTTGGTATCCATTTGAATGGCCCATTTTAAGAGATAAGTCTACGTGCACGGATATTTCATAATGCGTAGGGGTAAACCTACGAATTGTTAGCTCTTTTTGGTATTTTTATTACATTTTTTATATTAAAGCATTTCTTATGAACCATACAAATTACCCGTGATATACTTAGTTAGTCAAGTGTTATGCTGGTATAATAACAATAATTTTGCAACATTGGTGTACAATTCACCAAATTATAACCCAAGTGATTCATATTGTTTTAAATATGCCTATTATGTACAAATAAAACCGTAATGCAGACTTCACATCTGGTGCAACACCCCCTTTTTATGTGGTATACGGTTAACAAGGTTATTAAAATAGTGTGCCAATGAATTAAAACAAATCTAGTACCTGCTTACGTTGCATGTATGATAATATCTCGCCCGGTTACTAAACCTGCACAGTCGGAGTTCTGGATTATTGAATTGTTTTAGGTCAAAATATTATCTTATATACTTTCATTTAATCTAACTTTAAGTCCGTATATAATATATATATATTATATATCCGGATATATATATATCACCGACCTAGATACTGATGTATCCAAATGTTTGTACACGGGCTTGCATTATGCAGAGTTTTCTCTTAGGATACGGTTTTGTGTCAACATATACACAACATATACGTTAGTTTTAATTTCTCTCTATGGGTCCCTTTTGACAATAAGCATTGTGGATCACTAAGTTAATTTGGTTTAAAGTATACTTTCTGTAATTATATACTTTATTGACACTTAAATAATTGGAGTAGGAATGGCAAAATTGTACACTAAGAGATTAATTAATGAATGCCAATCTAAA